GTATTTCATTTTCCATTTAACTGGTGTTTTTAGAAGAAAAGGCTGCATTTATGATTCAGTTGAATGTCAGGCAACAACCCCCCTGAGTAACTAATTACTTCCTTGTATTTCTAAAGATCTAAAAACCTGAACAGAATGGCCCCTTGACACTGAATCAAGCCAAGAGAGGTTTGTGCAGCCTACCATGGTGTTGCTTCTGCGTAAGTCACAACTTTTTGCACAAATTTGCTTAATTCAGATTAGAGTGTCTGACAAACCTCTTGGGTCACAGCACTGTCCATGTATGTTGCACATCTTGCTTTTCTCAGTTCTCTGCTGCTACTTTTCTAGTTTATGGTGCAGTGTAAAGCAAACATCACTGTTATGGTACAAATATGGCACAGGTCTATTGAAACACAAAACCAGTACGATGCCCTTTATTAGTTTTGGAGCTATTCTGTGGCACTCAGTTCTCAATAAACCCTGAAAGTGAGACTACAAAAACCAGGAGTGCTGCCCCTATTATCCAAAGTCTCTCCCACTTTCTAGAAATAATTCACATGAACTTTAGTGCCACAGGGAAGTACTTTGTGGAAAAAGCCTGTCCCTACGATGAAGGAATTAAAACAGTTCCAGGTGTACAAAAAGATATAATGAATATGGATGGCAAGGAAGTTGGATGGAGTCTGAGGAATGGGATGAAATTAAAACACTTCTGCCCAGTTTGCAGTTATTTGGCAACACAGGAATCCATTTCTACATCATATATTATTAAAGAAGATACTATTAGAGAGACACACAAGGCCATAATATGAGCTAGAAAGTCTCTGATAGCATCACATATGCAAGAAATGGGAAACCTATTAACTAAGCCTGATGCCAGTACCAATAACTGTGCAGCCTGGAGCAGGGGATGACCAACAGAAAACGTCTACTGGAGATCAAGCAAAGACAGCTTAGAGGACATTTCCTCTAGTCTGAGGATAAAATGCTGTTCAGCTGTAACATCTCCTAGCAGCTCAGTAAGTAAACCTGACCTGCTCGGCTCTGAGAGAGGCCACGTTTGCAGGCAGAGATGGTATCAGCACACAGAGGCACTCAGGTGCCCTCAGGTGTCACAGGCAACCTTCCTTCTCACTAATCCCAGTTTCATCATACCCAGCTTCCCGTGTTATTATCAGGTGTTTAATATCTCTGAGTCTAAACTGAAACCAGGCACTGATTTGCATTGGGTTTCTAGGCAAGAAAATAAAGCCAGAGAACTGAACCAACTGGGTGGCCAACTTGGCCTAGTGCCTGGTAAACGCAGCTTCCCTGGCCCCTCCATCAACCTCAGAGATTAAACAATCTACCTTCACTCTTGGAAGTCATGCATGAGTGGAAATGCACACCCCATTGCTAATTCCTTCAGCAAAACAGCAGCCTCCAGGCAACCAGCAGTAGGACAAGAGGGCACAGACTCAAGCTCTGCCAGGGGAGGTTTAGGTTAGATATTAGAAAGAATTTTTTTATGGAGAGAGTTACCACGCATTGGAATGTACTGCCCAGGGAGGTGGTGGATTCACCATCCCTGGAGGGTTTCAGGATGAGACTGGATGTGGCACTTAGTGCCATGGTCTAGTAACCACGGTAGAGTTAGACTTGATGATCTTGGAGGTCTTTCCTAACCTGGTTGATTCTTTTCTAAGTATCAGCTCAAAGACAATTACCATATTTACTTCCTGAAATTCTTCATATATTTACCTCTAGTCCCCTCTTACTGAAAAAAACCTCACAAATTTACTGATTAAATAGCGAGAAATACATGGCTAAACTTCAGTTTAGAAGATGTTGCTACTGAATTATGTGTGCTATGTGACATACTCCCAAGTGATCAGAAAAAATAAATAAAAAGTGGTCAAATCTGCAAATGCTACAGAAGTATTGGGAGATTCTAGGACAAATTGGAGGCAAGGTGTCTAGGATGATGAAAGGGCAGAGCAGATCTGATTTGCACAATGTAGAAAATAATCCAAGAGAAAAAGAAAATATACTACACAGAAAAATAAAAGGAATGTGACAGTCCATTCTAAAGCAGTACTTGACATTCAGCAAAGTGATTGTGAAATCTTTTTGTGTAACTTAAGATATCAGCTCAGTGTTGAGCAGCAATCAAAAGTGAATCTGAATATTAGGAATTATTTGGAAGATCACAGAAGGGAAAAGAAATTATATCACCATATAACGTCTGGTGCATCCACATCTTGAATTCTGCACAACCACCAGTCCCCTCACTTCAAGAGAGCAACTAACTAGTTATATAAGAATAGCTTCTGTACAGAAAGAGGTTAAACAGCACAATTCAGTTATTTAAGAACAAAAAGAAAGGAGGAGAATGGGCTAAGTCACTAGCAAAGTGAATGGAGAGGTGCTATCCTGACATTGTTTCCTAGAGTATAAGAACAAGGGAGCATAAGATATTAAAAAGCAAGTATAAAACAAGTGCATCTCACAGAAGACAAACCAACTCTGCAATGATAGCTGAAGAGATCAAGAGCTCAGAAACGTTTGGCAAGTGCTAGAAAATGTATGCAAAATTAACAAATCTGTTAAACACAGCTATGACTGTTGGAACATGAAACACTCAAGTCACAGACAAGGCAAAATAGTGTTTGGAGGGTGATGATGGTGTAGAACTTAAGTTGTACTGCAGCAATGCTGGTAACAGAAGCCAATACCAAACTGAACCACTGAGATTTAATTGGCCCCATCAATACCATTTCCAGGGAAACCTGAGGAACAAATTATACACCACTCCCATGGAGGGGAAATACTTGTGAATTCACATGCCAGGACAGAAATAGAGTATGGCACTTTTCGTATTTTCTATCCCACAGCCTACAATTTCAACAGAAAGCTCTCACTGTACTTTTGGATATTCCTCCCAGCAGCTCAGTTAAACATTCCCTGTCATAGAGGATCTTGTCTTGAACCATGTATGCAATTGTGCTCTTGTGGTTACACAGCAAATTCCCACTTGAATGAAAGAAGGCACAGGGTGCATTAGTGCAGCAGTTGTAAGGATTAAAGTTAAAATTGACCTGGAACCACCTGACCAGCAAGGCAACAGTGAGCCAAAGGCAGGTTTCCACAAACGTGCCAAATCAGGCAGCTTTCAAATATAAAGGAAAACCATAAGGAAACAAGCAACAGGAGGCATCAATATATGTATATACTATCAACATCAAGAGCTAACAGAAGTAACAGAAAAAGTTAAAAAGCAAGCTAACTCTGATAACCACATTTAAACCTCCTCACTCTTTAATACAGCTAAGGAAGCACTCAAGGAAGGGGTCAACAATGATTGCAGTAATTAACAGCCTGAATTACATCAGAAGATATCTTAATCCTATCCTTCAAATCATCTGATCTCATAAGAGAATTTCTTAGAGCTACTTTTTATCCCTAAGTGAAGCCCTTCTGTAGAACCCTGGACACAAGTTTTTCACTTGCCAAACTGAAGCAGACATCCAATAGCTCAACAGAGGATTTTATAGCCCTGCTTCACAGATGTCATGGGCAGATGTTTTAACTGAAGCACCTGGCACAGAAGGGCATTTGTCAAGGCCACCATCTGCAGACAGTCAATAGGACTTACTGCACAATTCTGCCTTTCTCTAGGGACTGAGATGCACATTGCTCAGAAGATGAGCTTTGTAACATTCAGCTTCTTCCAGAAACCCCAGGAGTGCTTTGCTGTGCATTTTTATCTACCATAACAGCTAACAGAAATTTTGGAAACTCAGGAACAGAGCTGGGGAAAACCAGGGAAAGAATAAAGTGAAAACTGAGACTTAACACCAGGAATAATAAATCTTCTTACCAATCTACATGATATGGCCCATCAGTAATTCACACAAAACCTCCATTATTTACTTTGCAACTTTATTTCAGTGTAATTTATTGGTATAAAGTTTAATAACTAATTATACAGATACTGGGGACTTTCAGGGAAGCTTATTTGCCCTTTTTAGTGTCTTTTGCCATTTGGTCCTCAGGCATGTTTCATGAGGACTAACAATATATGTGTACCTTAGATTTTTATACAAAACCACTTCAAGTCTGTGTTTTGTTCTTCTGAGTAGGTTGTACAAAACATGCATATTGTAGACAATATAATGGTCAAGGAAGTATTTCCCCTCTTTAAACTAAGGCAGTTAAAACCCCAGGAGTATCATGTAATTGGAAAAGTAAAAAGGCTTCCTCAGTGCTCATTTATTCTCTGAGCAAGTAAGACACACCCTCTTGGAACTATCAGGTTTGATTGCTGTCTGCACTGAAAAGACAGGGATTGTCAAAGACAGCCTTTAATTATGTACATTTTATAATGCCACTAACCCATTCACTTTTGAATAAGAACTTGTCAGCATTAAGAATTGTGTAAAACCACATGCAAAAATTGCCATAAAATTTTTTAAGTAGAACCAAATTGGCAAGTTTTTGGAAAAGATATTTCAATGTTGAAAGGAAAAAAAAAAGTCTATTAAAATAAGCACTTCAAGTAACTTAAATATCTTTAGCAAGTATGTCCAGCAAGAAACTCTGTAAGAAAGATATTGTTCTTAGAACAAAAAGCTAACGAATGGCTATTTAGACACTAATTTTTCAACACAGTGGTAGGTCTGTGTGAAACAATTTGTAATCTAAATAAAGCAAGTCCATTACAATGTTAAAAAACATACATTAAGCAGGACTGATTAACTATTGCATTTCTGTATTTACAAAAGTGCTTAGCATAACAAAATTACCTAAAAAAATATAAACTTTACCAATATCATTTGGTTCTATGTGTACTCCTAGACCTGCACTTGGAAAAAAATAGTATTTACATTGCTAGAATTAGACAAGTTACCTATCATTTTTAAAGAACTTTAACAAAACTCCCCCCACAAATGGACCCCCACGTAAGTCAGTTCATTGCAACTGGCTCCTTACAAATAGAGCAGAAGCAAATCCTTGAGTACTGAGCAGTATAAATAATTCTAGCCATTGTCTGTGGCATTAGACCCCAGAACAGGCTGCCGACAAATTGGGCAAGTGGAATTTTCAGAAAGCCAGCGATCAATACAATGAATATGAAACTCATGCATACAAGGTAACTGCCTTAGCTTATTCCCTGTTGCATATTCATTAATGCAAACACTACACGTTCTGCTTCTTTCATTTTCGCTGTGAAGATCCCCATAGCTCCGTGTAGAAAGATTGTCAATCTGCTCTTTGGTTAAACCTCTTAAATGATCGTCGTCATCATCTTCATTCAGTAGGAAGAAGTGTGCAAGTCGAAGTATGGGCAGAGTTCCACTTTCCACTAGGTTGTTGGCATCCTGGTTCTCATGACTGCGCCCATAGTGTTGAGTATCATCCCTCTGTCTACTTCTACCCCTGCTGCCTTCTACTGCATTTCTGGATGAAACCTCGCTTGGATCTCTGCTGTTTGCTGAGCTTGAGTTATTATCACCTCTTTGCACTTCTGAGTTAGATTCAGTTTCCATTAAAGAACTCAGTTCTCCAAAGCCTGTCATGATCTGTCTGAGGATTGACCGAAGAGCCACTGATGAAGGTTCACCAAGCCCAGTTTCTGAAATCCGACGGAGAGGTATCCGTATAGTGCTAACGTAGGTGCGAATACCTGCGCGTTCCGATCGCGATATCGTACGCCGAAATCCCCCACTGTCGCTTTCAAAGGTAACAGTGTTTTCTGACATTCCTACTCTAGAACGAGTTCTACTGGCAATACTGTCCTGGTCTCTGTTTTCTCCAGGACGAATTCTTCTCACCTGAAGATCTAGTGTAATTGTTGGATGCCTTCTGACAGCAGCTACTGGCCTACTGGATTCCTCCTCTTCCAAAGTTATTCCCAAGGATGGGTCTACACTAGAATGTTGAGGAGCCTGAGTGTTACCTCTTGCTTGTTCTTCAGCAGGCTGTGGAGAAGCCTGAGCTGTTTGTCTCCTACTTCTGTTGACCTGGTGTGCATTTCTATCCTGTCTCTGACCACGCTCCTCTGACCGCACAGTATCACCTTGCCTTTGCAGCGGAGAGCGGCTTCGACTGCTTAGCGTAGACCTCAGCCGCAGAATTTCTAGTCTTTGGTTTGCATTCATCCGAACATTAGTTCTAGATCTGCCTCTCCTGACTCCTCTTTCTGGCACTTCTCTTCGTTCATCAACAGCTGCAGAATTATTCTGTGTAGTATTATTTCTTTGGGAAAGCCTTGTCAACTCCCTCGTTCTACTCCGGAGCCTCCCCGAGACTGCACGGGAGAGTATTTCAGACCTTACTGCCATAGCATGTCTTAAAAACCTGGTCCTTGCGGCCTCGTTGCTCGCCTCTCTCGCAGCCATGCTCCTTGTCCGTGGGGTTACTAAACTGGCAGCTAGTTGACGTCTTCTCTCTAAATACAGCGTGGTAGGATCTATATCAACATACTCCTCGCCAGCAGTCTCAAAACTGTTATGATCATGATTTATATTGATTTCAAGGCTAAATCGGAACTCCCCACTGCTGGGATTTGTTCGACTCACAGCTCTCCAGGTTTGGTTCCCACTCTGCCCACTGCGAGTGGCGTTTCCTGTGCGCCGAAACGTGTTAAGCCATTCAAGCAAGGAGTCGCCATTCGAGTTTTCTCCAAGAACATCAGAATCTGGGAGAAACAAAGAATTGCAAACATTCATACAGCTGCATACTCAGCTTACCATGATGCACTCCAAATCCTCTATGCTTTCTGGGCTCTGACTTCAGATAGGATACATTAGCAGGAAACCTATCTTGCTATGCTAACATAGGAAAATATGCTGTTTGTGAAAACACCAGCAAAACTCACCAATTCAGCTGAGAATTTTTGTCTCACCAGAAGACAGACAGAGAAATTAATTTGCCCACACGGCCTCTTCTGAGAAAGTGTTCAGATTCAGGTGGTCCAAAGTTAGTTGTATTTGCCCAGTATCTTATCCCTTGCTTAAGCTATTGATTTGAGGTTATCCTAAGTAAACTCATTTTGATAAAGCAAGGAAAAGTGTAACAAATTTTGTCTTCTTTGGGAAAAGATTTGAAAGATGTTGCCGTTCATGGCAACAGACCTCCTTCGGCTGAGATGGCACAGAGGCCCCACACCAGCCCCCCGGCCAAGAAGCACTGATAGAAACACTACAGAAAGAAATTGTTTCCTATGAGCAGTGGAACAAATGATGCATGGTTTCAATAGATTTCCTCCTTTTGTGCAAAAATACTCTTTTCTTACTACAGTATCCACAGCTCCATTCACAAATCTCCTCCAACTACAAGCTCAAGAACAGATACAACTGTTGCGGTTAGTGCTAACTATGTGTGTAAAGTAAGCCAATGGCCATGATCAGTGAAGGTTTTCCCTTGAAAGCAACAGATTCAGTTCTCCCTACTCCATCTCCCTGCTCCATGAAACCTGCAAGAACTTTAGTGTCTTCACTTCTGAGCTGCCAGTTTCTCTCCTAAATCTGACCAGAACTGGCCAAATACTTAAGCCAATATGGCTGAGGGGTTGAAGACAAGCAGTACACACAATACAACCCTCACTTGACTAAAACAAACAATAAAAAAATAACAAAACCAGGTGAGAAATTAACTGGTTTCTAATTAACTTCTTTTCCAACTGCTTTCATACATGATCAAAAGTTGTAAGCATTGAAGAATTAATTTTTTTGTGCTATTAAGTTTACTAACAAAGGGAAACAAGGAAAAAAGGAGGGAGTAATTTGTGGTTAACATAAACCAGTTTTCATCAAGTATTTCAAGTTTGTTTTCATACCATTTAGAAATCTCTCTTAAATAATCCATAGAGGCACAATGCAAAAAAAAAAGACTTGAGATGAGTTTCTCTTAAATATCTGTACAGAACAGGACTTACGCATCACATACTATGTGTACCTACGTATATGAATGAAGAACATTTACCTCCCACAGTTCTACTTTCACGTTCTCTGCTGTCCAGATCAGACTGTGATGCCAAACACTCCTTAGCCCCCTCCAAGCGTTGCTGCAACTCTTCTGCTGTTATTTCACCTGGAATAATTTTACATTTTGGTAATACTGCTAGATAAGACACTACTATTGCCTCAACACAGCCACACAGAAACAACATTTTCTATCTTGGATGAAAATCTTCAGAAGGTAGATAAAACTGATGAAACCAAAACCAAACAGCAGTAGTGTGGGATTATAACCAAGGTACACAGATAACAGAGGAGGTAGGTACTGGGGTGGAAGAAAAAAAAGATGCTGAATGTGTCGGGAGTATGCCAGCTTCCAGTAACAACTCAGAGGCCCCCAAACTGCCACACAGCAACGCACACACTTTCAGGTACCACATGTTAATTATTTGGGTTTGGGTATCACCTACATTCAAAGACGCTGCATTTCAAAGTGTTATATTTCTGCTCCATATGGAGGGGTTTTCTCCTTTCTACAAAGCCACAGAAGTCAGGCTACTTGAGTCATACTACCACATGCGGTGCCTGACAGGGGGAGTGTTACTTCACACTACATCCTGTCTCCTGAAGGTATGCACATCTTACCAGGAGTGCCCAGCAGGTTTCGGTCTCTCATTAACCTGTAGTCCTCTTCATTGAGTTCGTTAATGAACTGGTAATAGGCCTCCTCTCTGTCGAGGCGCTCCAGCTGCCGCTGCCTCTCATCCTCACCTCGGCTGTGCTCCCGGGAAGGCTCCTGCTCATTGCCGTTACCTGCACGGTGTCGAGAGCGATCCATAGTGCCAAGCTGTCCCGAACAAAACCAGAGCGTTACACTGCACAGTAATTACAGTGACAATTTACCTAATTTACAGTAAAAAGTTCCCAGCATGTTCAATTAGTTTGTTAACAGCTAAAGATGATTAAGGTGAACAAGCTTCATGTTATTTGCCAAGTCAATAGTGTAGTTCATCATGCAAATATTTTAATTCTGTTTGCTCAAAAACAGCTCCAAGTCCTCTTTGACCACTGAAAGGATATATTGTCTGGTACAACAGCTTTAAAATAAAGCAATTAGATTTTTATATTTTTTTTAGCCAAATGAGGATATTCTAGAAAGTTAAAGGAATAACATAAAATCTATGGTCTTTCTCCCAAGTGAAATACAACAGGAGAGCAGAGTAAAAGCTGCAGAGTAGAAGTATAATTGGAAACATGTAGTATAATTGAAATGAAGTGTAACTGAAAATAATTACCTAGTGTAGACTTGTGACAACCACAACTACTGCTTCAGAGAGGACTATCTTCCTACTTAAAGCATTTACTGGTAAGCAGGTAAGACAACATGATTATTTCTATCAGTAATATCTCTCACAGACCACAAAGCCTACAGATTCATTTTTTGGTGGAACGACTCTTGACAATATTTGTATATTTTTCCTTGCACTCCCTAACCCAAGGATTAGCTTAGCAAAAGGATACCCATCTCCAGAAAACTGGTGTAAAAGGGAAAGGGCTATACTTTACCCACAGTTCTTCATCTCTTTCCAAATACTGGATGAGTAGAATTACAAATAACCTTCCAGTGCCAGAAAGAGGAATCATCTCCATTGATTTCTGTACCATTACCACCTCTCTCTGGTTAGGACTCAATCCTGGGACAATCAGCACTCAGACCACTCCCCAACTTTTCTATTTTCTAAAGAAAACCTGTCCTTCAACATTCAGTTTGAAAGACTAGAACACGTAATCCTTTTAACGGGGCTTCCTGTTTACCAAAAGGCATCTGTAACACCTGCTGAGCTAGACACCTGGCAAGAGAGCGCACTCCTCTAAAGAGGAGATCATCAGGCCAAAAAATCCCAGCCACACAGCACCACTCTTCTTGCATGTGGGTAAATACCTTTCTTTTTGTTTGTTTTTCTCAATTCACTTCCAAGTTAGAATTATGGGGAAAACAGAACAGCATTCTCCACACACTCGTGATCAGTAATTAGTCTGCACAGGACAGGTGATGAGCCAACAAACAGACCAAACCAACTGCCTATTAGAAATACATTCAACAAAGAGCAAATCTTGATCAATGCTGCAAACAGACATGAATAATCAGAAAACGTATGTACCAACAGCAGAAGTTGGCATACATTTCATATTCCTTTCCTATGGCATTTGCAAGATCCATTCTGATGTATCCTTGGGCTCATTATTTCCTACCCCACATGTTACAACCCTCTGCCAGCCCTTGCCCCAGGCACTTCTAAACACCTCTTCTCAATCAATCCTTTCCCTCATCTTCCTCCTGTGTCCAACACTGCATTTTTATGCATTTAAAACCTCCCTCACAGCTCTTTAATTCACTTAACCTAGAAGAAATTACATCTGAGTATCTCCCCTTGAAACCATTTTCCATTCGCGTAATATTCGTGGGGAGGTTTAAAATCACTGTTGCCCTCTTGGCTCAGCCTCACAAGCTGTAGTTAACTGCTGACTTCTCCTTCCCACAAGGGCTACGTTCAAATTAGGTCCCATCTCATATCACACTTGTAAACACAGATTTCCCAGCCGGCTCTTCCTCTCATCACCCACCCAGCTTCCCTCAAAACAAAGCAGTTCCCACCCAACATCACAGTCAGCACTATCATTACCTTGATGACACCCCACATTTGACTATTATCATAACAATGCCCAGTCGGTACTGCATTGAATTGCCTCTGTCCCACATGACTCGGGACCTGACAGAACTAAAACAGGGAGGGGAAGGAGGACAGATAAAATTCGTCCAGTTTCACACTAGATTGCTATTTAGATGAAAGCCTTAAAACAACTGACATCCTTGCCCGACAACGACCTTACCGAGTTAATCAATTTCTTGGTACATCACTGTATTGTTGCACAGAATAAAGTTATATATACATTCTGGAGATGAAGAGTCCAACATATGTAGTCCCACTCAATCTAAATTTAAGGTATTGTTCAAAAGAGAGGCTCTTTACTTTTCAGTTACCAGCAACAGAAAATCTGGAAATCTCTTTGATTTTGTGGGTGGCAGAAAAAAATTACTGGTTTGTTGACAACTGTATGGTAGGACGATTAGTCACACTCTTTAAATGACTCACTTCGGAACACCAAGAAGTGTGAAGTGTTCGGTTGCCCCATCTGTTTAACATAACTGCAGGGATGACAACTACTATCCCTATTTAACAAACACCATCAAAACTAAGTACTTTGGCACTTAGGATGTTTCAGAGTTGTGAAAGTTGAAGGGTATTAACTGCACAAAAATGAAATACTTTGGCACATAAAATATTTCAACACTATTAAGAAGTCGAAGGGTACTAACTACTGATATGTAAAAAAACCCTGAAATCGAAAACCAGTTAGGACTCAGGATTCGTTTTCATTTGCAAAGAAACAGGAGCCATATGCTCCTGTTTATCAACATTTTCAACCTAACACTGATTCCCTTAGTTTAGTAACTGTTTATCATTTTTAAAAATTTCCAGCCTCCTTTTGGTTCATGGTTACTCCGGCCCATTCTTCAAGACTTGCAAGTATTTTTATCTGTGCAATATATATACCTTATGCTTTTAGCTTTTGGCCCGTTTCCATGAATTACTACCCCCAACTCAATCAGTCACTCATTTCCTGAAGGGCCACCACCCGATTGCAAGGAGTTTAGCTGAGGAAGCCTCTCAGGGCTACTTAGCATTTCTGTCACACCGCAGCCTCCAGGCAGGATGATCTCACCGACTTCAGGAAAGGAAAGAAAAAAATAATAAACCCTCCCAAAACAAGCCCAGAAACCCTCACGCACGGAGCCTGGGGAGGGAGGGAGGGCGGGGGAAGGAAAGATAGAGGAAGAGTCCTAAGG